CGATAGAAGAAAATTGGTCAAAATTTGCATTTTCTGTGTAGAGTCATAAAAAATCGGAGACTTGCAACAAAAATCGGAGCATCGGTATTGTAGGTTTTTTCACCAGCTCTTTCTAACAGTGCAAGCTTGCACCGAGTGAGCGTCTCTATGACAACTTATGATTTTCCTGGAAAATGCCAAAATAAATCAAATTCGCCCTTTTGTATTGCTTGCGCGAAAATCATAACTTTTCACGCTCAATCGGCGCAAACTTTGCACTGTTAGAAAGAGCTGGTGAAAAAACCCACAATACCGACTGCTACGATTTTTGTTGCAAGTCTCCGATTTTTTATGACTCTACACAGAAAATTCAAATTTTGACCAATTTTTTTCTATCGCTCCTATCTATGCAACAGATGGCCATTAGTAAGCAGCTAAGAGGTCATTATAAAGAGCACGACTTGCGCTTTCAAACAGGTATGAAAGCAGTCAAATCGGTTGGAAAAATCAGAAACTATGAATTTTTGAAAATCGTGCGCAATAACTTTCAGGACGACCTAATAAAATTGTTTCAGAAGAAGTTACAACTAAATTCGCAAAACCTGCATTTTTGCCGGATTCTACCACTACAACTACATATGCTTTTGGTATGAACTTCACATCAAGCAGTCACTAATATAGGGAGTATCGTAGTATAATGGTATTTTCAACTTTGCGTTCAATCATGAAAAAAATAGGATCGCAGATCTAACATCACTGTCACATTACTGCTGCCCATCCATTGGTAGAAACTGACTCACACCTGTCCCCATATACTATAATGGATAACAAGCCGCATAGTTATGGGGTCTGGCTCATATCACTATGCAGTGAGGAGGTAGTTTGAATATAAAGTTTTAGTCAAAATCGATTTCATCCTTTATATCCTTGTTCATATGGGATTGCTCAAAAAAGGCGAAGTTGATAGTTGGTTTGGTATTATAGGTTGAAAACCTCTGTTATGTCTTTTCCTTTTCAATTTTAATTCTCAAAGCTCACTTTTTGTATCACCTGATATATTAAATCATTTTATAAGCTCGCAGTTTTTCTCTGAAGAGGGGTTGACTTGCGGCAAAATGCGAATATTTTCAAGATAAGCTGTGCATTTTTTCCATGTGAACTTATTGCATTCGATAAAAAGCTGATCTACTTCAACCTTCAATGCACCTTCAAGGTACTCCATCCAGATGCTCGACTTCCATGTTTTGGTCGTTCCGGGGTCTTTTCATGTCCCTGATTTCGAATATCAAGTCGAGACTCCCCGAAGACCCCAACAATCTCCTTTCCGGAGCACTCGAAGCCCGATTCTCCGCAACCGTTATGAGATGGGCGCGCACGGATGGCTGGGGAGTACTGGAGGGGCGGTGCCGACTTGGGGTCCTCATACTTCTTCGCTATTCCAAAGCGATTTTTTCGCTACCTGAGCGACATTTTTCGCCGCGACTTGAGCATTGGCCTGATAGGGGGCTTTACTATGATAAGCTGCTGAAAGCTTAAGATCCCTAACTTACGAGGAAGTTACTTTCAAAGGCCGTGGTTTTTTCATATGAGATGCATACCATCTGAAGCAGCTTCGAACGCTAATTCCAAATCTGCTTTCCTTTCCTGTGGAGCGCTCTTCCGAAGCGAGTTATGGAAGCCTGAAAATTCTATTTTGAGGGGGATCCTTGAGTTAAAGAGCACTGCTACGTGCGTTGTTGGTGCAGTGGCGTAATAATTAGCTGTTGGCAATAAAAGCGAAAGGTCGATGGTTCGAATCCAACGCAGAGCGCACCATTTTGCACTACGAATGTAAGTTTGAAAACCACTCTAATTTGTCTGCAGACACCTACTGTAGTGCTTTTGGCAAATGTGACTTAAGGAAAAAATTTTCTGGCAGAACCGCTTGCTTATTGAGATTTGGTTTTCTCCGCAAAATTATGTACAGAAGTGAAACGAAATTGCAAATGAGCAAAACACAAACAATTCTCACAACGGGAACAGCGCATGAAGAAAACTTCCGTGCAATTTTCATGCTAGCAAGTACCCATTTACTAGGAAAACAATATTGGAGTGGCGTTTCAAATGAATTCAAAACCTTTCATATAAATTCAATCATACCGAATTCGAACCACCGACCTTTCGCCTTTATTGCCAACAACTAACCATTACACCACTGCACCACCAACGCACGCAGCAGCGGAACTCAAGAAGCGGACCAAACCAGGCTTCCATAACTAACAAGGATTCCCCTCAAAATAGAATATTCAGGCTTCCATAACTCTTTTCGGAAGAGCGCTCTGCAGAAAAGGAAAGCAGATTTGAAATCAGCGTTCGAATGCGCTTCAAATGGTATGCATCTCATATCAAAAGGCCAAGGCCATTAAAAGTACTTCCCTTGTTAGTAGTAGACCGTGCCTTCAAAGGCAGTGTCCAGGCAAAAAGTCAGTTTTGAGATTTTGTACCTACCTGGGCCTATTCGCCATGCTAAATTTGAAAATCAACATTGAAGGCGCGAAAACGGCGAGAAAAGGCTCTGAGGCAGGAGGGAAATCGCAGGTGGGCGGGGTTATTCACATTGTGACGTCAATCTCCCAGCTTCAAGAGCGATCTTCTCGCTTCCGCTAGTCGCCCTAACATCATTATCAGCCAACTTACACGTGACATAAAATTGAAACAGACAAGATCGCTACTAGAGCCTGGAAGAGTGACGTCACAGATTAACGCCCCCACCACCTGCGATTTTTCCTCTGGGTTAAGGCGCTTTTTCGCCGTTTTCGCGCTCTCCAGTGTGGATTTTTGGATTCAGCATAGCGAATAGGCCCAGGTGAGCACAAAATCTCAATATTGACTTTTTGCCTGGTCATTGCCAATAGCAAAAAGAAGCAATTTCACTACCTGCGCATTTCTTTTTACAAGAAGAAGCCTTTTAACACAGAATTTTGTCGAATTTAAGGAATAGAGTTCCATACGCCCATATGAGACATAAGAGGACAAAAGTGATCCAGAGGGCCAAAAATTAAACAAAATGCTCCTGAGCAAGACCTCTAGTGGAACGGGCAAGAACTTCTGCTCTCAAAACTGCTGATTAACACATTGACGACCGCTTGACACATATGGTGTTTCAAGCAAAGACTACCATGTGGGATCGCTTGACACACCATGTGTGTCAAGGCTTGAATTTTGTTGAAATGGCTACTATCCTAAGATAAACTTACTCCATGAGCTTTCTTTTGCATCAAATGTAGGAATGATTTCTACTTTTTTGTCAGTTTTCAGATTTACTGTAGGTGTACTGTAGATGACAGCATGCATAATTATAGTCGAAAAATGTGGGCTGGTCCGTAAAAGGTTTTGGTCCCAGAAGGCAAACAAGTAAAAATCTGCATGGTCGGCAATGTGTTGAGAGCAAAGATGAACCATATGTTGTTCGTTTGTAAGGAACGCCAATGAGCCTGTTGAATAAAATAAAACAAAATAAATATTTTGCGCGGCTCAACTTTGAAGCATGAACAACCCATGCTGCAGAAAAAGTCCGCTAGACAGGTCCAGCGGTTTTTCTGCGCGACAAAGTATGGCTCGAACGTTGCTATATCGTCTTGCAAGGTTTGATCGGAAGGTTCACCAACATCCAATGTCCTGATAAGCATTCGCTTTGGAAAATTATCGTCTGCTCTGGACTATTGCAAACCACATGAATGCGTTTGCTTCGATTCAGAAGAGGAGTTCACGAGTGACGACATTTAAGGACCAGACTTTCTAAGTTTTTGCAAGACTTGACTGAGTTTATGAAGGCAAAATGGCGAAATTTGTGTGCAATAACGATACATACATTATTGACTGCATTATGATAAATTCTGTCATTTCATTAGCTTATGAAGACCCCACGATTTTATAAAACGACCCTGCAAATGGATATGTCGCACGGGCTCATATTCAAACACAGGAAACTATTGTGAGATTGACGTAGCAGTAGACAATAACAAGGTATTAGGTCGTCCCGATAGATCTGCTGTTTCATTTTTGAAAATTCATAAGTTTTCGCAAGACACCTATTTGTTTTGTGTGATTTTAATGAAAAAGGAGGGTATTTTCTTTGCAAATATGTCTTGATGAGCTTCTATCATGCATTAAAGCTTATCAAGATAAATACAGAGAGGAAGACTTCTTTTAAATAAAACCACAAAGGAGCAAATATGTTGAGATAGCCCAAAGTTTATGAAAATACGGATTTTTCAGGACAACCTATAATTGATTTTGAATTTTTCCATAACATTTGCATAAATAAATGGGTACGCATTCGATGAGATATCTGGAGTTTCTTTGAGTAAAAGCCGTAGACGGTGGTTTTGCATTTATAAGGTCGGAATGAAATCAGTGTATGTTTTTTACGCCTTTTTTTTGAAGCGCTGCTTCAGACGTTTACATGATTTATTGTTGGATTCTTGCAATTATTTGAAACTCCCTTCCTGTGCATTCCGTTCCTATTGAGGTGGCTCATTTTCGCTACGTAACCCTAAAAAGAAACAAAGCAAAAAAAATTCCTTACTCTCTTGCTCTAAATCAGCCTAGGAAAGAGAAGAAATTCTTAGCAAATCTGCATGGTTCATGCGAGAGAGCTGTGTTACAAAAAAAACATGGAAGTAAATTTCAAATAATTTCTAAGCTTTAAAAACTTCAAAAACTTTTTTGAAATTTCAAACTGTTTTGTAACTTCAAAGAATTTCAAAGTAGTTTGAACTGTGACCTTCATGCGTTGTATAATGATAACAAGCGATTGTGGAACTCTCGCTGTATGCAGCGAAAGAGGAGTTGAATTAGGACATTTCATAGTAGAAATCTCGCATTTTTATTCCGCTTTCAAAAAAAACCGAGAGGCACCTTCGAAATTTTTGCGATATCAAAAAAAGTTTTTCCAATATCCAAGCTTGGAGATGCGACATTAGCGACTATCTGTTGCATATTTAGTGAAGTCCAAGCTATCCTTCTTTATTCCAGAGTAAGACGCTCTCTCAAACCAAACGTTCAAAAATTTACTGCGTCCAAAAGATCGATTTTATAAGGAAATACAGCGGCAAAATATGCAAGTCGGAAAATTGCATACTTATTACATCACAATAAGTCGTTTGTTTCTTGGACAAGGATCAACATGGTTACGGTAATTTCTATAAAGTGAAATTTTGTTTATCAAAAAATGGCAAAAAAAAGAAATTGACGCATGTTCTATATCACTCCTAACAAGGAAAGGATACTTGGTCGAAGTGGCGTTCCCATATGAAATGTATACTATCTTATAGAGAACTAGCTGGCTTACCCGGCTCCGCCGTATCCGGACCAAACTTGGCACACATACACTTCGGGCCTCGGCGGGTGTCACAGTCCACTTTTCGTTATCGATCGATGTCGATTTTACCGATTTTTATCGATTTTTTTGCAGAGTTCACCTACAGGGCTAGGAGTTGGCACAGAGGGGGAAGTGAGCATGGGGATTCCGAATACAACATTAGTTTTCAGGATCGTCCATTACTTTTATCGATTTTATCGATTTTTTTTGTAAAGTTTGACCTGCGGGGCTGGGAGTTTGCACAGGGGGGTAATCGAGCATGCTGATTACGAACACAATATTAGTTTTCAGGATCGTCCATTACTTTTTCGATTTTATCGATTTTTTGAAAATTTGAGCTAGGGGGCTGGAATTTGGCACAGGAGTGTAATCGAGCATGCTGATCACCCCCCTTGGGAGTGATCAGCATGCTCGATTACCCCCTGTGCCAACTCCCAGCCCCTAGCTCAAACTTTGCAAAAAAATCGATAAAATCGATAATAGTAATCGATAATCCCGAAAACCAATATTGTATTCGGAATCCCCATGCTCGATTACCCCCCTGTGCGAACTCCCAGCCCCGTAGCTCAAACTTTGCAAAAAAATCGATAAAATCGATAAAAGTAATCGATAATCCTGAAAACCAATATTGTATTCGGAATCCCCATGCTCGATTACCCCCCTGTGCCAACTCCCAGCCCCGTAGGTGAACTCAGCAAAAAAATCGATAAAAATCGATAAAATCGATATCGATCGATGACGAAAAGTAGCCTATGACACCCGCCGGGGCCCGTAGTGTATGTGTGCCAAGTTTGGTCCGGATCGGTTCAGAAATGGAATTTTCTATTCGGAACATACGTACATACAGACAGACAGACATACAGACAGACAAACAGACATTCAGCTTTATATATAAGATAAAACGCTGATTCCAAATCTACGTTCCTTATCTGCAAAGCGCTTTTGGGTTGGGAATTCTGGAAATTTTTGAGATAAAAATTCAGTGATTTGGCTAAGGTAAAAACAGCCGTTGATTGAGGTCTTTTCGGCGCTTGAAAGGAGTAGTGACTGAGAGTGTGTTGGATTTGAGGTATTTATTGCATAAAAGGTCCTGGCAGTAAATATGGCCCCTTCTGAACTAACAAATCAAAGTTCTGAATGCTTTTATTGTAGCTGCGTTTTCGAGATTTTGTATCGAAAAATTTTCATAACTCTCTTCACAGAAGCACTTTGCAGATAATGAAAGCAGATTTGGAATTAGCATTGCATGCTCTATAAGATAGTATACATTTCATATGGAAATGCGACTTCGACCAAGTACCGTTCCCTTGTAAGATTTCTAATTTAGCTGTTTATTTGAAATCTGAGTCTCAAAATATTTCTTAGAGGCAGCGTCCAGGCAAGTCTGCACCTATGGGGATTTTACGTGGAAGGTACTTTTGGGGCACTAATTAAGCCACTGCCCAACCGGCAGCTCAGGTAGTGCCCTAACGGCTGAGATATTCCCCTCAAAACTGGACCCCGCGACCGTGTTTCGCATGGATTCATGGCGCAGAGCGTGGATCCTGGCGCGAAACCGCCATGAGTCCATGCGAATACGTTCGCGGGGGCAAGTTTCGAGGGGATTCAGCCATTAGAGCACTACCTGAGCTGCCGCTTGGGCAGTGCCTTAGTTAGGGCCTCAAAAGTACTTTCCACGTAAAAACCCATAGGTCCAGATCTGCCTGGACGCTGCCTTTAACCAGCTTTTTCTACAGCAACTTCAACTGATATGTCTCTGCTAATTTTTCGCATGGCATAAGAACCTGACCAGGACATTGTTTAAGTTTTTCAAAATAGGCTAATTCTCTTTTTTGCCACTTAAACGTACGATAGTTACACCATCTGTACGGAAACAAGCGATTTACATGGTAAATTTTTACATCCTAGGTCTAATCAGGGAACCAGCTACAGGATGTTGAAACTACTGGCTCTTTTTGCTTTTGCCACTGAAATCGCAGCAAGGCGTAAGATTTTTAAGCCGATGGTATTCACGAATATATTCATAGATGTTCAGCAGGCGAGATGAGAGACATACCTGGAGTAAGCGCGGCCAATATGGAAAGACTGCGTCAAATGATGAACGTAAGCATTTTTATTTCCGCGTAAAATTGACCCTTAAAAAGCTTTCTTTTTTTAAGCGAGTGGGTTAGCTACTAGCAACCACGATACAGAATATTTTATGATACATGATGGTTTTTTACCGCAATTGCTTGTCCTATTCCTTTTGTATATAAGCAATGATTCAAAGCAATATTTTACCGTTCTAGCCTCGTCCGAATGGGCGCGAAGAGTTTAAACAGAGGATGCAAGAATGGGAAAACAGTTTACCAGCAGCTGAGAGGGTTTGTGGAGATCCTGGCCTTCTTTTTCTCAGAAAATTTTCTTTCAGACAGCAGTGCAAAATCACAGAAAACAAATGTTTGAAAGACGTCATGCTGGTAAGCTTACTGACCAGGTATATCTGTTACACCTATTTTGATGAGTATACGGCGTTTGCTTGCTCAAAAAAGCAAGCAGAATAGTATACCACTACTCTGCTAGAGATATACTAGGAAGAAACCTTTGATTGAACCGGAAGGCGGGGGCTTTGTGACCTAATTGAGGCAGCTCGCGCCCACGACGCAGTCTGAGTTTCTCCCGCGCTTTGCTCTCTGGTCATTACCTAGCGTTAAATAGGTCATGAAACTCCGTCTTCCAGCCGCCGTGCCAGTTAAATCAAAGTGTACGCAAATTGCACTGGCAAATCGGTTAGAGATGCATACCATCAAAAACGCCTTCGAACCAGGGCCCGGCGGGGGTGGCGCTTTCACAAGCTGGATATCGTTTTTGGCCCGAAAAAGCAAAGGGGAAGTCGTATTTTGTTTAAAGATAAACAATGCACATATCATTCTTTATTCATCATTCCTTGTTGATGCTACTGTCCTATGAACTTAGATTCCAGCAATGTGAAGATTCTGTGCTCCGATCGCTAGCCTGCCCGCAGGCGGGAGTTCAAATCGCAATTCTTGTAAGAGGAAAATAACAAAATAGGCTCGTTTTCAATGCACAAGTAACGATATGGCACCAAATTCGCTGTGTAGTTGGAGGACCATGAGCACATAAAAAGTATGAAGAATTATGAGAAACTTATGTGAATTTAAAAGATGGTAAGTGTTTTTCGAAATTAGGTGGCTCCCGCGCCACCTGGGAGCCACCTGGGGTGGCTCCCTGCTTCCCTTCACATAATTTCCCGGATTTCTTTACATAAATGTGGACTAGGTCGAGAGTAATACTATATGTTTAAATCCGCTTTCAAAACCACCAAGGCACCGCTTCGATACAGCCCCAAATAGGGTACACAGCGTTATGATCGGCCTCGGAAAGCGCGCTCCAATCGCAATCGGTTATTGTAAATTATAAAGTTTCGCAGCTGACTAATAAATGAGTAGTATCTTAGATATATAAACGTCAAGGCCTCTGCAAATCTTGAGCCTATGTTTTTTTATAGATTCCTTTGCGGGTGAACTCATTGAGCTGAAACCTTGATGACCCGGGCTGGACCAGGAAAGCGAGGTAGTACTACTATAATAAGCGCTGAGGCCGCCCATCTTATTTGTGTATATCTGTTTGTCAGGGACTTACGGGGGTCAAAAATAGGGTCAAAGGGGAAGTCGTAAGAAATTTTGGCTTCAAAGGGGATATCGTTTTCAAAATTCTGAAACGCCACCTCCTGCCGGGCCCTGCTTCGAACGCTTATTTTTAATGTGGTCTTTTCTGCGGAAAATGTAGACTAAGTTTGTAAGTATTTAAATTCTGAGTCATTAGATTTACAGTTGATGTAGGTAAAAAGTCAGGAGCGGATCAAAACGTATAATCAATATAATGTTTCAATGTTTCATTATAACAATCAATACATTTGTACAAGGTCCAAATAAGCTTATCCCCTTCTATTTTCAACATTTCTGAGAGCTGGACTTGGGCTTTTGGTGGATATTCTATTGGTTGTTTTTTTACTGTCAGGTTCTGAATACTTCCGTTTACTTTGTTCCAATATGGCACGCCTTTTGCGCATTGAATAAGTAAATAAATAAATACAAACGATCTGCATATAATGAGTACAACAGTAGTTTTTTTTAACACAACTACTTTCCAAGAAATATTCTGTAAGTAAAAAAATGTAAAAAGCAAACCTGGAATTAGCATTTGCAGGCGGTTCCGATAATACGCATCTCTTTCCAATTGTTTAAACGCATCGCAGCACGTGTTCTCTGCACTATTTTGTGAAGTCGCAATAGTATAGGTACTATACTTGACGAGACAAAGCCACCATAACTTCTAGAGTTTTCCCACATTTTTAAATAAAGTTTAGTCTTGTAGCTCTTCTACATGCATGTTGTACGTGAAAATCTAATTTTTGATTCTGTTCTCGAAATATTTTAACCCATAGACGTTGATTTTACACAACACTTTTGGTGCGGAATGGTTTTGTGGTTGTTTACGAAATGCAACGTTGTTTTTAAGCAACTATTTACAAACATTTTTTGAAGACAAAGCCTACAGGTCCCAAGAGTGTAAAGAATTGGAGAAAATATTAGTCTGTGGGAAAAATACGAGACCTGCAAAGGATATGACTTTGTAACAGTTGTGGGCATCGACGGTTCAGATCGTCCCTGGCAGCAAAAGCACGGGCCACGGGTGATCCACATCGTTGTCAGTGGGTTAACATACCAGCTATTATTGAGGAGCTAACTTCCTTAGGCGGCGTTCATACTGATGCGGAAGTCCTGGCAAAGTTCCAGCACAGCATTCGGATGTCTTGAACTGGCTCGTGTTGCACGCACAGAAGCAGACCGCATGCAGCACTGAACGAGATCTAGAATGTTTTGACCATTTCTAACGTTCGTCCTTGCAGACTTTGACGTTTCCCGTCTCAGTCTTGCTCCTCGCTAAAAACAAAATCGAGCTGTGTGATTATTTTTATGGAAAGAAATGGGCTGAAAAGCCCAAAAACTCAGATTTAGCATAATTCGCGATCTCACAATCAGTCACGTAACAATTGTTCAGTCTGTATCAAGACGCTAGCTATATCAAAGGCGCAGTGACTTCCTAAAAAGCAAAAAAGAATTTCCGGAAAAATATGTGGAGGAAAACGGACGCGAGAAATAGGGTTTTTAAGCAGAACAAGGCATGGGAAAGCTTTCATTTTCAGACCTTGCTTCCATCTAAATACTTTTTACTGCAGTAGGAATCCAGATACAATAATGAGATGAAAACGAGCAAGATTCATAGTGAGAACAGCTACAAAACTGTTCTAAAACGCTACTTGAGGCTACAGTATCATGCCCAGAGAATGGAGAAAATCAATTTAAAAAAATAAACTGTAAATTCCTGAGAATTCTTGTTTATTGAATTCAGCTGTATAGAGCAATTTTTGAGTCTTACGGACTTCCTTTAGAACTCCTTCAAAGAGGCATCCCAGGTGTGAGTGATTCCAGTATGGATAGGCTGCGTCAGATGATGAATGTGAGTTTTTTCAAATTGGAAATTACTCTATAAACGCAATGTGAGTTTGCGCACATTCCTTTATCAAGCGAAAATAGTTGAATTTGTAAAAGTTAACTTTAAAATTTCAGCCTCTACCGGAAGGAAGAGAATCGTTTCAGCAGAAGATGGATGAATGGATAAATAGTCTGCCACCAGCGGATAAGGCACGTTATTGCCTCAACAAATATTCTGGAGATCGCTGATCCAGACATGTTCAGCTTTAAAAGTAAAAAATTTAGGCAGCAGCAGAAACGCATAGGGAACAGATGCGTCAAAGACATAGAGGTCCTCCACCTCCTCCTCCTCTCTAAAATCCATATCCGGGCAGTGGATCAGGTGCTTGTGATAAAGCATTTCTGCACTTGTCGCATTATTGCTTATGAGATAAAAATGAAACGAATTTTGTGTCACACATCAAAAAAGGCTTGATTGAGATTTTTTCCTATTTACATCTTTTTTACGAGATAACATATAACACACACACACACACACACACACACACACACACACACACACACACACACACACACACACACACACACACACACACACACACACACACACACACACACACACACACACACACACACACACACACCAAGATTTCCCTAATGACGAATCCACAATGTGCCCCAGTGCTTGCTTATGCGTGCGGATCGGTACTCCAGAAACGGCTTTGATAACAACATAAAAAAATCTTTACAAAATGTTTGAAACACAAAATAGAGTTAGTGTAGAGTGCGACTTGCGCAGTCAAGTGCATATAGCTCAGACAACTTAACGGAGCTTCCGCAGAACGTCTAGAAAAATTCCGCCGCTTCATCTGAGGAAGTTCCGAACAATACAAACAGCTAAGGCGAACACCTGAGCGAGATTTGAACTTTACTCTATTGACTGCAAGACTCATCTACTACTATCTGCACTATGGATGACATGTTTGATAGTGCGCTCTAGTCAGGGCCCGGCACGAGCTTGTCAAATGACAAGCTGGAAATCGTTTTCGGCAAAAAAAGCAAAGGGGTAATCGTTTTTGGGGGGGGGGGGGGTCCGGGGCGGAGCCCCGGAAAAAAATTGGTAGTTTATGCTCGCTGCTTATCTTAACATGTTATGTGCCTCAGCAGGCGAAGACTGGAGTCCGCGCGCGTCAGACCGCGCCGTCGTTAATGGCCGCGCGCGCGACGTCGCTCACACGATGCTATTTGTAACAGCATACATGACTAGTTCTCAATACATGCGTAACGATATGGCTCTAAATTTTGTAAGCAAACGGAGAGAGGCTAGTGGAAACAAAGTATGAAAAATTATGAAAAACTTATGTGAACGGAACGAGTAATAAGTATTTTTTCCGAAAATTTTGCAAAATTGGTAAATGAAGATGTGAATTCAAACGGCTCGTTTGCAGCGCGCAGATAACGACATGGTATGAAACTTGGCACTTACGTGGTAACAAGCCTGTAGAAGTCAACTTAGGAGTTTCATTGAAAAAATTGTGTGACTGAAGGTTGTGGCAAACTTTTTTCTGAAAATTTCCCACTATCAAGAAAATGGAAAAATGGCTCGTTTGTAACGCAGAGGCGACGAAATTGCGCGGGATTTGGTGTGTATCTGCGCAGTAGGACTAAGTAACAAAGTATGAAATATTATGAAAAACTTATGTGAATGAAGAGTTTCCCCAACTAATTTCCAAATTAGCTTGTCATTTGACAAGCTAATGACAAGCTGAGCTTGGCAAAACTCTCAATTCACATAATTTTTCCAAAATATTTACATAAATCTACTCTACACCTAAAGATTAGTACATAGTGAAAATTTGGTTTCAAACCTCCCGCTCTCCTCGTTGCTAGAAGCAAAAATAGCCTCAAAAGCCGCGTTTCCTAAGGAGGAAAGCGCGCTCCGATCGAACGGCATATCGCTGAGTCCTTTAATCTCGCTTGGTGCGGCGTCGTTGATGTTTCTGTTTTCAAACCTGCTGATATGCCTTAATATCGTTTTACGGCAGTTTTATCTAGGAGTTAGTTCTCCATGCGTTTACCAGAGCATATGTCGCTTTAGTCAGTCATGATTTGTACGCATGACGAGTGTTTTCTCAAATTTGCTCAATGCTATCTTTGATTTTTGAAAACACGTATGGATTATTCCTAGGTATATTTGGATGGACGCACGTCGAAGCCTTGGCTGGATAGTCGTTTGAATAGCACGGAGGGCGACAAAATTCCTCTCGTTATCGCATCTCGGAATGGGCACGTAGATGTTGTGGTATATGTGTTTTTTCTCGCACGAATTTTTCCCCTATGCACTAAATTCTACTCGCGCAGTTTTCACCGACAATAATTCATCAGAGCAGCTCAGATTCTCTCCCTTCTTTCTTCATTCTTCTTTGCAGATGGTACTTTGAAGAGCTATTCGTGTTCGTACCCGACCAGCGTTCGACCGGCGTATTCTGAAGTCATCCAGGTTTGATATATTTCGTGAACATTCCTGATCTGCTTCTGCTTGCTCTCTGTTCATCGCATTTTACGGTTTTGCGCCCCTTGAAGCTGAGCACCAAATCGCTTGTCATTCCTAAGATACCCGATTTAAGCACAGTTTGCTGGCCGATGTGCTCAGTTCTGTGCTATCGTCACCGCAGCTTCACTCGTTTCAAGGAATTCGCAATGAGCGCAATGCCAGAGGGTGCGTGCTTTGTGTGTAAGATGGGTTTTTGTTTTGATACTTCCCGCTACTTCCTTGGTATTCAGGCTACTATGCCTACGGAGCATCGGCTGGTCGAGAATGGTATGTCAATCCTGCTATGCAGTTCAAAGACGACAGTATCAGCGATGCTGACCTAGCATTACTCAACAGGGTTTTCGATAAAGTAAGTTGAAGAAGAGACTTTTTTTGTTTCGATGTTGATGCTTGATTTGATCAGTGTTTCACTTCGATTCTTTTTTGTTGTTCGGTCCTTCAGGCAGACGTTGTCGCTGCCACCGCGCTGCAGCTGCTGCAATGTGAAGTAACTCTTCGTACTTTCTCTATCAAGATAAAAGATAGAAAAAATAACTCTTCTCCGAATAGCACATCTTTTTTCTAGATCGGGGATTTGCTGAATGATTCTGCTTATCGCAACTTTACCTGGATTGGTAGCGGTCTACAATCTACACTAAGGTATGGTTTGAGATATCTGTACACATGTCCTATTTCCAAATTCTCCTGCAGGCAAAGTTGTCCTAAAGAATCTTCAATAAAGGTCATAGTTTGTCTAATCGAGCGAAAGATGGGTATGCAGCTGCAAGAGGGTGAGCTTTGGCTTTAATACATATTATGTTGGTATCTGGAATTTGTTACCTTGAAGGAAACGTGCTTGTATGTGCTGACTCGGAGACCGATCTGCCAATGTTAGAAGAATGCTTGTCGGTTGCTCCCCATAACGTGTACAGTCGAGTAGATTCAGCGGTAAATATAGTGTGTTTGCACAGAAGGTGAAATTTGCGCGTGAACAAGAAGCCACGCCAGTACTGCGGGTACCTTGCGCGCGCAATTGGCCGGCGTCACAGCCGAAACTATTTCTTCACGCGCAAATTTTACCGCATTTTACCTTCTGTGCAAGCACACTATATTTACCGCTAAATCTACTCGACTGTACACGATATGGGTTACGAAAGATGAGGCACCCAGGAGAAGGTGAGCGAAAATGCAAAGCTTATGTCGCCTTTGGTCATCTTTTCTTTCTTTCTCTATCCTCACCATTACCGATGGTTTTGGACATTTTGGATATGGTGACTTCATGATATATTTGTTTTGTTGTGACTTGTTCTATTGCTTGTGGTATTACTGATGACAGCTAGATGTTTATATATGGAGGAACTTAGCGTTACGCTTCTACAGTCAACTCGCTCCCAGATTTTTTACATGATACTTACTAGAAAGTAGTTGCATTCTAGTTTACTTTTGGTTCCTAAACAGCTCAATTTTTGAATGGATTACGGTTTTTCTTGCCAGCACATGTGTCCTAATAAATGATAGTGACATTTACAGTTTGGCCCACGATGGTTCGCCGCCTCAAAGTGGCGTGGGGGTGGCCCTGGGTGTCAGCTACCTGCAGCCAGAGTTTAACCTCTGGCTTCCGGACGCCCAGCAAAGAGCGAACCGGGTCAGCTTCCGCCGTCTGACTAATAGGTCGTTAGGCGGGTCCCCACTCCACATAATGATGGTCAGCGATCGCCTGAATATGGTAGGCCTGAGCAGGCCTGGTAAGCCGACTCAGTGCCGGGGAAAAAAAAATTTAAAACTCGAGCAGCAAGTAAAGGAATAAAGCCCTGTCATCAGACCCCGACTAAGGCGCCGGAAGGAAACAAGGCTGGTGGCAGGTTGCTCAGGGCGCCATTTGGATTGGACAAAAACGGCACACCTGCGACGACCCGCCATGGAGACTGCTTCATGCTCTGCACTTACAACGCCAGAACAGTCTCCACAGACGCCGACCTTCACGCTCTTCTCCACGCCGCAGGGCACATCAAGTACCACGTCATCGCCCTGCAGGAAACGAAGTCCAGGAAGCAAGACGTGCGACAGTTGAGCGATGGGACCCTCGTCATTCGTGGTGAGAAAGTTCCGTCGCGGAACGTGGGAGGCGTCGGCTTTGTCGTCCACCCAACGATCGTCCATCTCGTCGATTCGCATGAGATCCTGTCTCCCCGACTGGCCATCCTTCGTCTTCACCCTCCACACCAGAAGACCATCAGCATCATCAACTGCTATTCTCCAACATCAGCAGCTGATGATTCGGAATTGGATGCTTTTTACGAGCATGTAGAGGAGGTCGTCCGCAACGAGAAGTCCTTCTACAAGTTTGTTGTGGGCGACTTTAACGCGAAAATCGGGATGAAACTAGAAGAGGAGTATAGGATCGGGAAATTTGGATTTGGGCTCCGGAATGATAACGGCAACCGTCTTATTGGGATCCTATCCGCCGCACGCCTGTTTCATGGAAACTCACTTTTCATGAAGAAAGAACAACGACGATGGACATGGGAGTCACCCAATGGAACGACACATGCGGAGATTGACCACATACTCACCAACCGAAGATGGTGCCTACCTGACGTATCGGTAGTGCCATCTTTCTGCAGTGGTTCTGATCACCGCCTCCTACGAGCGAAGGTACGATTCAGTCGAAAGCTGGAAAGGAAGATTTGCCATCGCAGCCCACGAAGGAAGGATGTCGTTTACGACGGTCAAAGGTTAGAGGAGCTCTTATCATGTTGTGAGTGGCCCATCGAGGAAGACCCAACGAAGGACTACGAGCTGCTTCTCAAAGGATTGGAAGCCTGTGGGTATTGCGCCTCAACAACTCGTGCAAGGAAGTTGGATCGCATCTCAAGCACTACCAAGGAATTGCTCGATAGAAGAAGATCCTTGAGGCTGGATCCGAATGCATCTCACCTCGAGCGGTTGGTGGCAAATACCAGCTGCAGAACGGCATTGCAGGAGGATCTACGAAAGTACAGGCAAAGGAGGATTTTGGAAGCCGCTGAACAAAGACGAAGTCTGAAGAAATGCCGAAGGGACCTTTGCGACTACCACATACCACTGGGAGCATTATTAAACGAAAATGGGATACCAACAACTTCCCGCCGAGAAATGGAATCGATCGCGAAGAGTTTCTACACCAACCTCTTCCGCTCATCAACACCCGTGCCAGACCCCGCTGTTCCCACTGGAGACACACCACCACGAATTCTTCCTGCTGAAGTACGCGTCGCGATCCAGACCATGAAGACGTCCACAGCTCCAGGACCAGACCATCTTTCCGTGGACCTGCTAAGAGCTGGAGGACACTGTCTACACGAGATTCTGGCGGCGCACCTGACATCTTATCTCCAGAAGGAAAGGATTCCCGACCAGTGAACGTCAAGAACCGTTCTTCTCTTCAAGAAGGGCGAACGGGAAGATCTTCGAAACTATCGTCCGATATGCCTGTTGAGCGTGCTGTATAAGCTTTTCACCAAGATCATTCTCACTCGCATCTCAAGGACACTGGATGAGGCCCAACCTCCGGAACAAGCTGGATTTCGCAAGGGATTCAGTTGCATGGATCACATCCAGACGGTCTCGAGGGTCATAGAAGTTTGCCGGGAGTACCGATTACCTCTCGTCCTAACCTTCGTCGACTACGAGAAGGCATTTGACAGCGTCGAGTTCAACGCTATCCTGTCAGCGCTAGTCGATCAAGGAGTGGATCCGTCATATGTGAGGACATTAGCCAACTGCTACAAGGACTGCACTACAACGCTACAGCTGTTCCATCGCCCTCTGACCGTACCAATAGGGAAGGGGGTCCGACAAGGCGATACCATATCGCCTAAGCTGTTCACGGCGGCCTTGCAGTGGGTGATGAAATCACTGGACTGGAATGAGAGAGGTATACGAGTTGATGGGAGATTCCTCTCGAATCTTCGTTTCGCGGACGACATCGTTCTCTTCTCGAGCAGTATCAATGAAGCCGAGACGATGTTAAAGGAATTGAACGAAGTAGGAAAGACGATTGGACTGCGAATCAATCGGAAGAAGACCCAGTTCATGAAGAACGGCCTAATTGAGGATACGGAATTGAAGCTGGAAGGTTCCCCAATCACGGAGACCTCTTCTTACGTGTATCTAGGACGTTCAATGAACATGCAGAACGACTTGAAAGAAGAACTTAACAGAAGGCGAAGAGCAGCTTGGGCCGCTTACGGGCCTTTGAAAGAAGCCACCGACCAACTAACGGACCCTGCGCTCCGAGCTCATCTGTTCGATTCAACCGTTCTCCCAGCGCTCTGCTACGCAGCCGAGACGTGGGCTGACACTGCTGCCACGTCGAAAGCTCTTCGTACCACCTACAGAGCGATGGAGCGGAGTCTTCTGAAGTTTAACCGACGTACGCAACATCTTGCCGGACTTCGCAGTTCTGATTTAAGAAGTATGTCCCGTCTACGAGACCCAGTCGAGTATGTTTCGAAGGTAAAGTACCGATGGGCTGGTCACATTGCAAGAAGAACAGACGACAGGTGGACGTTAAGAACGCTGGAATGGATCCCTCGCGATGTAAAACGCCCTCGAGGAAGACCCCCCACCAGGTGGGCAGATGTGTTCGTGGAAAGGATGGACCAGCTGAAAAACCAGCTGGAAGCGAATTTTACACCTAGATCTCGTGATCTTCGCCACCAACGACCGATACGAACATCGTGGTTGACGCTTGCGAGGGATAGGAACGGATGGAAGCTGTGCTGCGGCCCGCACGACACGTGAGGACGGGCCAACTAAGTAACTAAGTAACTATTTACAGTTTGGTGAAATCGGTACCAGGGATTAAATCGCTGAGAGTGCAGATATGTTGATATCTGTGTAAGTCTCATCTCGTGCCGGTTTCTTGGTCATCACTATGTTAGTATAGCTTTGTATATTGAGCATTACGTTAATAAACAGCTGTACTTTGTAGCCACCAGTTTCCTTGGTTTTGTGTCAGCACCATCCTTGTGGGCGTGGAAGTCCTTAAGGCCCCGGACAGACTTCACGCGATCTGATCGTCGCGACTGAATCGCGACGAGACAACTGTTACAACATCATTCCATGCCAATCAACCTGCATTTTGGTTGTGATACTTTTCCAGCCCCAAATTTTTGAATGTGAAATGAAAATGAATGAAATGTCGGCGATTGAGTCGCGACGATCAAATCGCGTGAAGTCTGTCCGGGGCCTAGTGCGGGAGAAAGTACATCGTAGAATTTCCGGTTTTCACTTGCATTTGGAATTGGACAAGGTTCATATTTAGTAAGCTATATTCCTTATTTTTAACCAAAGAACTATGTTTATGTTAAAATTGGGGAGGGGGAGGGAGATGAAGTCGACAAAGGGCAGCAACGCTTGTTGGTGAAAGCAATACAGTATCCTTATCGATAAGTTCAATGAACATATCTCAAGTCACTTCACTGATGATTTCACTGAAGTTATCGTTTACAGAGGCACAATTTTTTATGACAATGGACCATCAACGAGATGGGTGTTGCTGCAATTTATGTTTCGATTTCTGTTCGTGCTCACCTCTCTTCTGCGGTTGGAACCACAAAATGCTGTGACTTTGCATTGGGGTTGAACATGCTGATCACCTTTGCCTGTCCATTCCAGTTTGACGACTCAGTGCGAAGCTACAATTGTCTACAAGCGCAATTTCACCCTAGCGCTACAGTATCAGCTAATATAAATAAGAACTTCAAGGTTCAGCGATTCCAACACCTTTAAATGAAGCCTTCTGCAATGTTATCGTAGCCTCACAGCAGCATAATCATGCGTAATTTCTTTCATGTAATCAGCGTGAGTGTATAACCTTTGAATTAACTGGCTTGGCGGCTGGAAGGCGGTCTTTGTAACCTAATTAAGGTCGCTCGCGCCAGCGACGCAGTCTACGTCTCTCGCGCGCGTGCTCTCTGATCATTATTTAGCCTTAGTTAGGTTGCGAAGCCCCGCCTTTCAGTCGCAAGGCCAGTTGAATCAAAGGGTACCTTACAGCACAAATGAAGTACCCTAAAATAGGAGACGGTCAACAAGCGCGATTTGTGTATAGGTCCCAGAAGGCCAATTCAGCGTTGAGAGAGCCTCAAAATGCCGAACAAATGTTCTGGCTTATTAGAGTGTGCCACTAGGCACAACGCCAAAACTGGCACTCGAGTGTTCTTGAGGTCCAAAAAATCAAAGCGCAAGCACTAGTTTGCTGATTTTTTGAGGGGGGAAGGTGAGTGAGTGAGAGGAGTGGAATTCAAGAGTGGATGTGGGAGTGGAGTATTTGAGGATGAGGGTGAGTGTGAAAGGTACTGAGGGTGTAGATTACTTGAGGCTGAGGATGATTGAGTGGAGCGTTAGGGGTATGTTTGTAGGATTAGCAGAGTACCTAAGAGATGAGAAGACGGGAATGTGAGGAGTATGTGTGGAATTCGAGTACTTGAGGGTGAGAGGTTTCAGAAATTGTGAGCATATGAAGTACGAATTCCCCCCCCCCCAGCTACCGGTGCAATTGTCATTGATATCACTCGAGATCTCTGGTCTGACCTCTTTTTTCTCTTTGTTATTGCATTGTTTTTGGTGTTTTCTTCAATAAATGTTCTTCCTTGGGTAAAGTGTTCACTGCAGAATCACTGGGATCAATTTTTGGGTCAAAGAGGAATTCGTAAAAAAATTTTTGGGTCAAAGGGGAATTCGTTTTCGAAAACCCCTTTTGACAAGCTCGTGCCGGGCCCTGGCTCTAGTTGTTGGCGGGGTAACATCGTACGAGACAATGCACCAAAAACCTGCGGAAGTACAAGCATGACAAAGCGCTGGAGCCGCTGACATTTTCCGGGAGTTCCGCAGCGCTTTGCAAAAAGACCTGCAGAATACCCATTTTCAATGATTCCACTCTTGCAATAGTAATTTTGCTTACCCTGCAGAAGTTCCGGTGAATCATCAGAAAGAGTGCACAAAAAATAGCGAATTCGCTGTATTGCTTTGTTTCATTTGAGAGGAATCTTTGTTATGGTTATTGGCCTTTAACGACAATTGCCACCCTTTGAAAAGCTGTATAAAAACGTGAAGTTTGCTGCTACTGAAACATCAGGGACATCCTGAGCAAAGTACAGCAGTGACATTGTGGAATACGACGCATATGTTTTAGCGCTGTCAAAAATGATGATGTGATCTCGAGTCGTGCAATTTTGAAGAAATGAATGAGACAAAACTGACTCAGAATACTCAACTTGTTATTGACATTAATAAGTACAGAAAGTATTCTAAGCGATCGAAGTGTTCAATTTGTTTTTCGAGCAAAGTTCATAGGTCTTTGGGTCAACCATCTTCATATAAATGATTAATGAGGAAGTGAAAATGCAAAGCGCTTACTTTCTCACTCACTTGTGAAACAGGCAACTATTGACAGGTGAGACTGCTATAAATATTATTTTTTAGTTGTTAATTTTAAGACGTAATACAGAAGATCAGATAGAATGCAGCAAAAGTATAAGTAGAAGTTAGTAGCTTACCCAGGATTTTCGTTCAGGGGATGGGTGGAGAGGCGCGACATAAATTTTTTTTAGTGAAGGTACATGGTGTTAGCGAAGCACTCCAAAAAATTTCTTGCTATGTTTTCTTACAAGAAGATGGTACTTGGTACTTGGTCCGTTATGAACTTTTTCGTAGAAAATTCTCGTACTTTTGGTAGTCAAAATCACCCACTTTTATCTATTTTACCGTTTGAAGCTATTGAGGAGAATCTTGAAAGGTGTAACGTTTAGTTATATCTGTCTAATCACATTTAGCATTTAAAAAGGAAAGCAAAAATTTTTATGAATAATTTTCACCTTTCGCAGTAGCGCAATTCATTTTTGAAAAAATAAATATAACTCCATCCAAGTTATCGTTTCGCAGATATGGAAAAAAGTATTCGAACCATCATCAAAAGGCGCATTTTTTGATATATAAACCATTATGAATGGCCGGGATCACCAAGTATCGTTCCCTGTTTAGATTTTTGCGGACCCATAGACCCGAATTTCGGAAAAGGGGCGTAGTGTCAGCCATGCTTCCTTCCGTAATTTCTTTTGAACCTGAATTTTAATTCTAAAAAATTTCAAAAATCATTTTAAGTATTTGCATGTACAAACAAGTCCTTTGCACATTTTTATACCCCATGTACGTAAATTGTAAGTAAATTTCAAAAAGTTCGCACTCTTCTCGGGGGGGGGGGAAGGGGGAGGGGCTCGCCGGTAGCAAAACCGTGTTTTGCTGCGCTCTTTCAAGGGAACTCATTTTCACAAGGCTCATGTATTGGTGATTGGTGGTTATCATTGCTTATATCCTCTGAGAAATTCACCTCAAATCTTAGACAGGCTGATACTGAGATATACGTGTGTGCATTTTGGTGTATAATAAGAGTTCGGCTATTGTAGTACAGTTTTCGAAAAACATAATGTATAGCTTCCGTCATTCCCGATCACAAAAAATTGTCAGCATATTAACTTTGTGAAATATGGTAAAAACCCCTATACAATGGTCACCACACATATAATTACAAATATTGCGGAATAACATTATTGCCATGTGGAAGCTATAAAAAAGAGAGCTGTTATCAAACTTTACTCCTCCCACCTGACAGTGCTCATTCAGCAGCGACAGCACTTAACGAATGCACGCAATTTTTGATTACCTTCTCAATACATGATTGCCAAAATCATAAGCTCAAATCCTCAGTGAAGTTCCTTCTTGACTGATACAATAGCGGCAATCACTCCTCACAGTCGTTTAGTTCTTAGTAGAATACGTTTACAAACTTTAAACAAGCCTTGTCTATGCTTTGCCAAACATAAGCATATAATTTTTCGAGAAACCTTTCCGTGGTCATTTAGAAGCCTACGCGGAAAATAGCGAAGATGCTCAAAATACTCGTGTTTCTTACTCTCGTCACGGTAATCACTGCAAGACGTAAGACGTAATTTTACGAACGATTTAATTAGTTGCTTTCTACATTATCTTTCAGGTGGCTGGACCAGAGATATTCCTGGTGTGAGTGCGGCCAATATGGAAAAACTTCACCAAATTATGAGTGTGAGACGTTTCATAATCCTATAAATCTAATCTTCATCCTTTGTGACCTGTGGTACGCACAGTGAAAAATGTAACAGCGTCGACCAACTTGACAATTTCATCCTCCTCTTTAGTTAAGAAAACTAGTAAACCATAAAGACTGCAATAGTTTAGCACAACGTTTGTACCGTTCTAAACCTGTCTGTAAGTAAAAAGAATATAAATCGAGCAAGACTGGCCAAACACTGGTCAAAAACAATCAGTTCGCTTTCTTTGTGTCAACTATCATTGCAATATAATCCTAAAATAGTTTGAATTTGCTGAAGTAAGGCTATAGTGCTTCTTTTTTCTCCAGTGGAGTTTCAAATCTTATATATAAAGCTGAATGTCTGTATGTCTGTATGTATGTCTGTCTGTACGTATGTGCGGAATAGAAATTTTTATTTCTGAACCGATTTGGACCAAACTTGGCACACATATACTTCGGGGCAGGGAGCGTGTCATAGGCTACTTTTCGTTATCGATCGATATCGATTTTATCGATTTTTTGCAAAATTTGAGCTACGGGGCTGGGAGTTGGCACAGGGGGGTAATCGAGCATGCTGATTACGAATATAATAATGACAGGGCCGGGCGGAGCCGGGTTTGCCAGCTAGTTCATTGATAATTTGAACGACAGAATATAGCGAAGGTGTTTATTTCTTCTTTTCCCCCTTAGTTTGGAAGGCTAAAACTCCAATACTCTTGTAATTACAAACTGTGAATTGCATATTTTCGTCCAATATCTCAATTCTGCACTCTGCTCCCTTTAGAATATGGAAAAATCTGGGGCATTGTTGCGCCTCCTGGAACTGTCGCTTTTTCAAGTAATTCTTCTGGGCAGGTCACAAGATCTTTTGACGTCGTGCCAGTGGACTTTGAAGAAGAAATAGTGCGTCTCGCAATTATAAAATTGAGTGCTAGAATTTTAAATTGAAGGAAATCGTGAGTACAATTTTGAATAATTGAAGAAGCAAATTCTACTAAGTGTTGTGTATATGATCTAACAGATGTCTGCAAGTACGAAATGACCGAACTTGAAACGGTCCCACACAAATTCTTCTTATGTCCTAAAAACAGCTAAAGAAATATAAAGAGTATTGCATTCGCAAAGACACTTGATCTCTTTTGAAATTAGAATTATTCTTAGTATTAGGTCGTTTCAAAAGTAATTTCGCTTTCTTCATACGGGCACCACATTTGACGGAACAAAGGTTTCTAAGAGATCTTGGAAGCATTCGATGCAGCATTTCATTTTCTTTCCAATGGTTATGAAATTGTTGCAAAACATTCAATAAGCTTTCAGAAGTTAACCAAAATCTGCGACCCATGCTTTTTGAGATGGTCAAGTTTCACGATTTTTTAAAACTTTCATATCAATTCTCAGAAGGAGTTCAAGTAACGATTCGATAGAGTAATTTTTTACAGAATACAGTACTACTTTTTTCCACTTCTCGTAGCTTGCCGTAACTTTTTAAAAGATTTTTTAACAGAACCATAGGATTGTGGCAGTCCCACCTCAGCCACAATCTCATCAAACATCACAATTTTTCGGAATTACTACCAAGATGTTACTATAAGTTAGCATTAGTTTTACAAAGCAAGTGAGGGTTTACGGGTTCGAAATATCAAATTTCGAGTTTTTCGGGTACACCCTGAGGCTTGCTAAAAAAAAGGAGTTATGATGATCTCTCTTCGAAAACTAAAGGAATCGAAAACAAAAAACACCTGTTAGAAAGAGAAGAAAATGCTGCACCGAATAGTGCGTGAGCTGCTCTTCTTTTGATTTTCTACGAGGATTTAGCTGCCTAAGTATGGAAATCGGTAGCATCAGTTAAAATTCTGTTAAAAATATATGACAAGCTACGGAAAGGAGAAAAAAGTAGTTTTGCATTCTGTAGGGCTTGCTCTATAAAGGCGTTACTTGCACTTTTTCGGAGGGCTGATATAGAAGTTTCAAAAAATTGTGAAACTTGACTATCTCAAAAAGCATAGGTCGCAGATTTTGGTTACTTTCTTGAAATTCTTGAATGTTTTGCAACAATTTTATAATCTTTTGAAAGAGAATAAAATTCTGCATCGAATGCCGCGAAGATCCTTTAAAAACCTTTGTTCAGTCACATGTGGTGCCCGTTTGAAAAAAGCGAAATTACTTTTGAAACGACCTAGTATATGTGAAAAGAGATTATAGCGGAAAGCTGAGGTTACAACTATTGCATTATGAGTGATTGTTTTGCCCCACATCAGCCGAGTCAGTACGAGAACTGGTTGTTAAAAAGGTATCACTTTTGACTGTGTTTCGCAGAATTTTTCTATTAGGTTGGCTAACAAAAAGTTCAATCATTTTAGCGGTTTGTAGAATTGTCACAAACTATTTTTTGTGTGTATGTGTAGCTTTAGCTTTTTAGACTTCAAATTTATTTTAGCCTCGACCTCATGGACGCGAAGAGTTTAGGAAAAGGTTTTTGGAATGGGAGAACAGCTTGCCGCCAGCAGAGAAGGTGTGATGAGGTTGATTTCTAGCTCAGTAATATTTTTATGACTTCTTCTAGGCAGCAGCACAAGCTCACCGAGAGCAAAGGCGCAACAGACACAGAAGTAAGCATCATTTTATTTTAAAAAACACTATTTAAGACATCGAAAAGTGAAAGTCATAATTAGCTAGTCAGCACACTCGGCTACGGTCGGTCTCTATCAACATAACACGAATCTACCATGTGGTCACACCTTTACACAACATTTCCCTTAGGTCTCACATTTATATGTCACATCCCTCTCTCACTGTGCTTTCGTAATCAGCATGCCCATTCATCCTCCTATGCTGATTTTCAACAAACCGCCTCGCAAATTGTAAAAACCGATAAAATCCTCAATTGCGATGGTTCTTATTAGTACATATATCCCTGGTGATCAGCAAGCTCACCCCCTTCCCCGCTCACCTGCGCCAACTCCCAGCCCCTTAGCAAAAAAGCTAAAGCTAGCAAAAAATCGAGCGAGCGGACATACATACAATACCATCCATAATTTGTGAAAAAAATTGGCGGCGGCACCTAAGCGGCACTTGCCGCCTAACTTTGTCGCGCGATGCCTAAGTTTTAGAAAAAAGACCTTACCTTGATTCAAAATTTATGAATTTTATATTTAGGAGTACCATTCAACTCAGCTCGGCGAGGCGCATCTTCCAGTATACAGGTCGGCTTAGTTGTGGGATATAAGTTTTTTTCTTGGAATTTTAGTGTGAATGGATCATTCAATGTGCTGATTCCAGAGGCTACACACACATTCTGTTGAGCACTACAGAAATAGGGCAGGTATAGTTTAAGATTCTGCATGGATATGTATGAAACTGGGCTTTTCTCGGCGAAGTATGACGGGTACCAAAATGCAGGAAGACAAAGAGAAATGGTTGCAAATCGCATAAGAAGCACATATCGCGGAATGCCGCGCGTGCTGTGCAATGTACATTACCACCCACAGAACGGAAATTTCGCGATTCCGGAATATCGCAAATTATGCAGCGCCAGAACTTTGTATGACACTCGCATTGCGGATATTGTGTTCTTCACCCAAAGAGTCCCACTGTATGAAATATGGTACCTGCGTATGCTTCAGCTGCTCAGTTGAATATCAAAGATATCTCGGTGGCTAGAACTCAAACTACGAAATCTAACACAATAAGATCCATTAAGGATGTAAAAAGATTTGATCACGTGTAGTATAAGCACTTACGATGGAATTTCGACGAAATATGCGATCTTTACATTTTGGGCAAAATTTATGAGGATGTGTTTCCTTAGGCTCGTAACTCGGCGATTTCTGTAGAGTAAAGACTGAGGCATGCACCATTCGATGGCACAGTCCCTACTAACTTTGATTTGGACAAGCAAGCAAGATTTTTGAAAGATACGCGAGAAGTGCGGGCAAAGTTGCGCACTTTCGTGATTCAGTTACAGTCACCTCACCGTATCTCACAAAAAGACCCTGTAATTCTCAAAGACCTTAATTTTCGTAAAGATGTTTGAAAACCTCTATAAGCAAAGTTTCCTTAACAATTTAAGAGCATGAACATTTTGACCAAAATCTATCGGCCAGCTTCAGAGAGTAAAACGAGAAAAAATGAAAATACTCGAACATCTTGGAAAACTTGCTCATAGGGGTTATCCGAGATGCTGATTACGAAAATCACATCTGCCAAGCAGGAGAGCTTCATATTTTAGAGTTACGTCGAGGAGATTCTAGAACGACATGGTTTTTCCAGAATTCACCAGCCCCTCTAACTTTGAAAAAGTGAGCGGCTAATTTCTAGCGCCCTATAATACAGAAGAAGTACTATCGAAAATCTCTTCTTGAATCTACTGGGGGCGGTACGCGCTGCTTCACACCTTTGCGAAGAGACTTTCGCAGAAAGTTTTTAAAATACTGAAATCAAGATATCAAAGACATTCTGCATACCGAAAGATTTGCCTTGATGAGCTAAGCACAATGCATTTTTCGGATTTAGAAAATATCCACTCCAAAGAAAGTTATGGCGCTGCATAATTTGCGATATTCCGGAATCGCGAAATCCCCGTTCTGTGTGTGGTATTGTACATTGCACAGTACGCGCGGCATTACGCGATATGTGCTTCTCATGCGATTTCCAACATTTCCCTTTGTCATCCTGCATTTTGGTACCCGCCATACTTCGCCGGAAAAGCCCAGTTTCACACATATCCATGCAGAATGAGCTCCCAAACTATACCTGCCCTATTTCTGCAGTGCTCAACAGAATGTGTGTGTAGCCTCTGGAATAAGCACACTGAATGATCCATTTACACTAAAATTCCAAGAAAATACTTATATCCCACAACTAGGCCCATCTGTATACTGGAAGATGCTCCTCGCCGAGCTGAGTTGAATGATACTCCTAAATATAGAATTCGTAAATTTTGAATCAAGGTAAGGTCTTTTTTCTGAAAAAAAAGTTAGATGTCGCGCGACAAAGTTAGGGGCAATTACCGCTTTTCCACCTAACTTTGTCGCGACGAGGCGCTTGCCGCCTAACTGCGAATGAGTTAGGTGCCGCCGCTGATTTTTTTCACAAATTACGGGTGGTATTGTGTAAATAGCAGAGGCGGACCGAGGGGGGGGGGGGGAGGGGAGGGTGGGCAGCTTTCCTCAAAACTTCGCAGTCATTGGTAGCTGAGTTGATGGATCATATGTTTACATTACATGCCAAAACATCACTGTGATATGGTATTATTCTCAAGTCATATACTGGGGATACTAGTCAGATACTAGTCACATTTATAAGCTGTGCCAATCATACCTTGTGCTTGTTTTTTCTATCTATCAAAAGTTTGATTACCACACTTGTAAAGGTTTAAAGGTTGTGTAGTGAAATCAGCAAGCGAAGAACCCTGCTCAAGAACTTTCTAGATCTATTTAATCAATTTTCAATCAACTACTTTTACGTTGACGCTGTACAAAATTTTACCGTAATTTAAGATTAATGAGAAGCTATGACTTCATATGCGGAATGTTCAAGCCAGCTGTGCGACCAAGACGTCGACATAACCCTCTGTGGAAAAAGAGACACTACAGGGCGCGGCAAAAGTCTGGGAGCCTAGTACTTTTTCGTACAAAACGAGAAGGGAAGTACCTAGAAACGAAAAATTTGGCGCACACATAATTCGAACCATTGCAGATACGGCACAGTTCTTGACTTGTAAAACTGCCTCTTTTGGCTTCCACGCAGCCCTACAAAATCTTGGCAAGTCCACCTGTCATGGCAGCAGTTAGTCGTAATGGAAATCACCCCATGCCTTTACAATAACTGCTTCTTTTACCTTGGCAAATGCTCAGCGTGATAGAGCAAACTTTTGTCTACAACATAGTTCCAAAAGAATATATTGCATTGCTTATGAATAAAAATCTTGGATTTTCAATCAGAAGCATGTTGCATGTTCGTCGCATACCGGAATTTTGGCTACAATTGCGCGAATATAATCACAAAAGGTTCAAAAAGTATGAAAAATGTTCCCATAGCCGAATTCCAACAGATTCCAATTAAGAAAACGTATGGTAAAAAAATACAGCCTTGGTCCCAGTGCCTGTTGAGCATTATATAGCTTTTAAATTTGTTCTGAAGACGGATTTCCACTGGCACGTAGGTAACATTCGCAAACTTTTATTTTCTGTTCATGCAAGAACAGCTCCTGGAAAAGCAAAATTAGGATACAATAGCGCAAAGCCTCTTCTATGTTGTGTGCATCGAAGTTTTGTAAAATAACAGCATCTCTAGTTACAGCAAAAACTGTAAGTGCCAAAAATTCTGGTTTTTCGCTTTGCAAAAATGCTGGTTTGGTAATTTCTATTCCTACCAAAACATATAACAGCCATTTCCAGCCAAATAAAGTGTAATCTGTAGAGGATGACCGCAGCATCATGTGGCATAAAATTGAAATCAAAACCATCAGTATCTTTGTAATTGCAGTATGTATAATCAGGCTCCTAGACATTTGCCGCACCCTGTAAAGTTGCACTTATTGGGGCTTAGGTTAGGTCGTTATGCATAAAGCTTCTTGTATCAACACTAAACTTTGCCTCTTCGTAACCCAATTTAGAAATGCTCGAACAAGGCATTCCGGGAGTAAGTGCTGCCAGCATGACTAAACTACGTCAAATGATGGAGGTAAGCTTCTAAATGTCAATGTCCTCATAAATTTATGACCGCAGATTTGCATTTCTCTGAATTTATCTATCTTATTTAGCCGTTACCAGAAGGCAGGAGAGCATTCCGAGAGAAGATGCATGAATGGATGAACAGTTTGCCGCCTGAAGACAAGGCAAGCTTTATCCTCGATGGTCGAGATAGTTAGAAGAGCTTACACAGTGCAAACATTCCATTGCAGATAGCAGCAGAAGCGTACAGAGAACAGATGCGTCAGAGACATGGAGGTCGTCGTGGCGGACGCCCCTTGTAAAAGTCAAATGTAAAATTTATGCTGCGATACTGTTGATCTTGTATCATATTGCATAAAGATTTCAACCTGTTTACTCGATCCAAAAATGCTTCCTGGCCTAGTGGGCTCTTCTTATTCTCTTAGCAATAATGTAGTATATGCCCAACATTCTTCACATCTGCATGTTAGTTTATGTCTGCATTGACACTGAGAACATATACCAATTGTTCATGCAATCGACAGTATACATATACATATTGAGTTGGTGCAAAAGTCGTGTTTGAAATTCAATTCAATAATTTACCATATTAAACCTAGATATGTAGCCTTAGAGAAAATGTAGAAAAATGTTAGAAATTATAAGACTTATAGCGCACTTTTCGTGGCCGCCAGGGAGAAACAAGTTGTCCAGGACGGCGTTCAAGATTTTATGACAATGTTGACGATAGATGTTAGCTGATACGCACATCCAGTGGCCGACCGATTCACCATTGTGTAGAAAAAGGTTTGGTTAGCAAAGAAGGTCCTAGCTAGCAGAAAGGGGCAAAGCATGATTAGTCCGTTGGAAAAGTGTAGAATGATTGAACATAACGGTGTTGAGACATCAGATGCAAAATCTCGGCCCACGAACCGCAAATTTTCGCAATTTCCGCTTTGGAAGGGTTTTAAATTCTTTCTTGCAGACCCAAATTGTTGTACTGTAAACTCTAAGGTTGTGTGCCCCACTTAAGCGGCCCCGCAGTGGCCTTGGTGCTCATTTGTCACCGCACTCGACCAAGTACATCTGAACAGTAATCCATATCAACGGTTGTTGGTGGGTAGCCTTCGCCTTCGAATTCCTTGCTTCCACTCATACGATTTAAGTGGCAAGTGGTGGGATTGACGGCAGGGCGTATATTAATGTGATTGACGCCGCTCCAGCCTTTGAAGACGGCGTCCTGCCGAAACATCAGGTTATAAATTATATCATCTACAACAGCCTTACGACACAATGTAACAAATGAGACTATTCACACCAAGACCATGTCAAATTGAAGATAAGAGGACCTACTGCAAACTTATTTTGTGTGAAAAACTTTCGCACATTTTTGGGGCTAGTCAACTGCACAACAGTATTTTTTTATTACCAAACTAAATCGCAAACTTTGAAGTGCCGTGTCTAAAGGCTTGTTTTTCCAGTCTACTCCTGTTTCTTCAGGTGATGAAAAGTTTAGTCTGGAGAGCTACTTCAAACAAGCATTCATCTATTCCTCTTGCGAAACCGTAAGTTCAAATTTCAGATTTAGAAGTTTTCCGATTTTTTTCTTTTGAAAGTACGCAGCAACTTTGACATTGCTGCTAGTATTTTTCTCGCTGAGTTATATTTGTGAAAGTTTTGAGCTTCTTATAGCAAACTGTGCAAGTTCGACGAATCTCATTGAGACTCCATTGTGCTTTCCAACTTCATTTTTGCATCTTGGCAAACGGCGTTCTTCGTGGACTGAGTTTCTTCCGATCTATTCGCAATTCAATCTTCTTTCCTACTTCGTTTAGTTCCGTCAGCATAGTCTCTGCTTCAGTGATACTGCTCAAAAACAGAACGATGTCGTCCGCAAAATGAAGGTGGACAGGAACCTCCCATCAACTCGCATGTCTCTCTCGTCCTTCTGCCTCCAGTATAGTGACTTCATCACCCATTGCAAAGCCTCGTTGAACAACTTCGGCGAGATTGTGTCGTTTTGTCGGACCCCCTCTCCGATTGTGATGGTTGAGAGGCGATGGAATTGCTGCATCGTTGTTGTACAGTCCTTGTAGCATTCGGCTAACGTCCTCACATAAGCTGGCTCTACTCCTTGATCGACTAACGCTGACAAAATGGCGTTCGTTTCCGCCGCTGTCGAAGGCTTTCTCGTAGTCGACGAAGGTTAGGATGAGAGGCAGTCGGTACTTCCGGCAGACTTCTGTGACCCTTGAAACGTCTGGATGTGGTCCAGCAGTTGAATCCTTTAGGAAATCCAGCTTCTTCTTGGGAATGGGGTTCATCCAATGTCCTGATATGCGAGCGAGGATAATCTTCGTGAAAAGCTTGTACAGCACACTCAGCAGGCACATTGGTAGTTTTTTCGAAGGTCCTCGTTGTGTGTGGAACTTCGAAATTCGAAATTAGCCCCTTCAAACTTACAAGGGAATGGCCCAAAAGCCAATCCAAGCAAATTGCCTACCCGATGCAGCACTCAACTCTAATTTCGAATCTGTACTCCGTATCTGCTTAGGGCCTTTGGCGACGAAGTTGTCAGCACTTTTATTGCGAAAAGATCCTAAATAGAAGGTGCGGATTTGGGCCCAGTGTACATTCAACACACCTATAAACAGTAAGAATATAAAGTATCTAGCTGCATGTTTTGGCTTAGCAGTGAACCAAATGGCTCCGTCCATGCGCTTTGCATGTACGATTTCCTAGCAAAATAACGGCATTTAACGGCTCATAACTTCGCCCACATAGGCGCTAAGCACATATGGAGTACAGATTCGAAGTCAGCGTTCTATGCAGCATCTAATGGTATGCAGCTGGTATGGACTGGCCGCTTCGATTTCTGTTAGCTACAAAGAGAGCTGTGATTTTAATCTTCAGCCTTCACAAAGCTCGCAAGGGGAAGATATTTTTTGGCTAGCCATTTTCATTGGGACACCGCTGTTGCCTCACTCTGCACAATCAGCAAAATTGAATGCTTAAGTAGTCACCGAACGCATCAATCTATGATTTTCAGGAACGTTTCGGTCCAAGATGGACTTTTTTTTATCAACTATACTGTTGAGTCAGTAACTTCAAACTTTAAGTTCCGGAGTAACACAAGCTCAATAAAATACAGACTGCTCAAATTTAGGTTATTTAAAGAAATAAAAATTTTTTACACGGGTAGTGGTCACAACCTCGAGAATGTTAGGTTAGTGCAAAAGTAATCCGCGTTTTTCTAGCCCTTGTTTCGGGATAACTTTTTTCCATAGGACTTTCTTTTTTGGAAAAAACTTAGCATCCCTTCAAGAAGCTCTTTATGTGTTCTATGCAAAGGTGTTCGAAGCGGACTCTCACTCGACTCGGACACTAGCCACATTAGTCAAAAAATTATAGAGTTTCACACAACCGCTCTCGAAACCAGATTTTCGTTGCATTTACTTTTCTGGCTTGAATTCAAGCGCGAATAAAGGCATTCTTTCGGATATTCAGATACTGTATGTGATAGGAATTGTCTATATTATGCACATTCTTTTGTTTGGAAGTTACCTAGACTGAAATTTCGGCGCCTCAACATGGGCAGTAGTTCTGTAGCCCATAAATTTTCTCTGAAGAAGGAGATCGCCAAAGCATTAGTCATTTCTGTAAGCGTAAGGGTGGGTCTCCTACTGGCAGTTTTCGCAGAAATGTTTAGCTATTCAGTACGCAGAAAAAAATTCCATATTTTGTGACTTTGAGGCCCAAAGACGAATAAATGTCGAAAAAATCAGACAATTTTGGACTTTAATTTTTTTCTTTTTGCAGACTTCCTTTGTCGAGCCCTTTTCAACTTTTCTTGTACTACTCGCTTGCAGCTACAAGATAGGCCACTTGTCATTTATAATATCAGATTTTGAAGAAAATTACGATTAGTTAAAAATGAAGTTTGAGAAAAAAAAACTTTTCTTTGCTTATCAATCCATTTTTTTTGCCCGTTTGTGATAGGAGTATAGATCATACCCTCGATGGATAGTCTAGAGACAGGGCGCCAAAAGTGAAGGTTGTTTGAACATCTGACGTGATAAATAGTGAAGGTTGTTTAAAGAAGATCAGAAAAAAGAAACTGACGTAAAACAGACATAAAAAGCAAAAGAAGCTGCTTTAACCCGAATAAAAACGCTGCAATAAGGTTTGAAGTCTTTCATTTGGCGGCTTTTCAGAGTACAAGTTTTCGTTCCAGGACCAGCAATTCGCAACACGGGGTTTTGATTTTTGATGCGTCCTTCAAAATTTTCCCTCGCATTGACGTTCCTGTTTCCTGGGACGTTCTCTGGATTGTTACGCTTATTATTCTAAGCAACAATCGCCCAAGCTGGAAAAAATCGATGCGAAAGCACTGAAACAGAACAAGGTAAAAAAACGCACTTTTTACGATTTTTCGCAAGAAATTCTACCATAATCGAAGAGTTAAGGGCTGGGTGGTTGTCTTTATGAACAGAAGCAAGTTTTACAGAATGCATGAAAAAACCGCGTGAAAAGAGTTAAACTGGGAGAAAAACAAGAGATTTTCAAAAACAACGTTTTTGCCGGATTTCTCGTTCAAGTTAAAAAATGTGATTTTGGGACGTTGTCAGGGTGAATGTAGAGATCAAGAGCTTCAATCTGATTTATAGATTGCTAAAAATGGGTTTAAAGCTACGAAGAAAGGAGTACCAGAGCCAAATGCCCCGCGCCCCGCGTTTGGGATAGCGAGGTAGCGCGCAGCGCGCGAAGACGCAGACGAGCAGCGGAGACAGACCAGAGCCGACGGGGCATTTGGCCCTGGTAGTAGATCTCCGCAGGGTCTCAACGAAATCCTACATATATCATTCTAATCGTAATGACACGACGAGGAAAGCTGACAATGTCCCAGGACTTTGAAAATCACTCATTAGAGAGATAGGCCAGCGTTTTCGTACGCGATTCCCTCGCAAGAATTAAGCACAGTTTCTCGTTTTTATTTAACTCCAATAGCTTTCGTAAACTTCTGAAACTCTATTCCAGTCAATTGAGAGGTTAACTGAGAAATTTTGTCCTGAATTCTGGCGAAAATTCCGCAGAAACCTTCTTTTTAACGTAAAAAAAGGCTATGAAAACGCAACTTTCGGTTTTGCTGGAATAAGCTAAAGAATCGTGTACAGGTGCGATTTTTTATACTTAGTGCTGTTGTAACCAATTTGAAGGAAAAAGACATGATTATAGGACACATCCTTATTGTTAGCTTTTTGAAAACTATATGATGAAAAAATGGATTTGTGAATTTTCGTGAACATCTTGTTTAGGGCCGCATGCACTAACATTTCCGCTGGGGAGGGGATCGCAGCTTCAGAAGAAAGCTTCATATCCCGAAGCCGGATGTC